CATTCCCAGGATGGCTTCTTGGAAGCACCGGAGTCTCTCCGGTGAAGGGGACCTTGCTGACATCCCAGGTAGGCCAACTCACCATTGCAAGGACACACTGGCTGCCATTCTAACCCACACTGATGCTGTCACCAAGATGTCTTGCCTGCCATCAATATACTCCTGGCAAAAGAAAAACCATTAAGGGCAGGTGGGGACAGGAACCGAAACCTCCAGGCTCATTTGACCTCTTCCAAGTGGGCTTCAGAGAATTACCTGCTGCGATGGGGTGTGAACATGTTCTGCTTGCTGCCTGCCTTCTTCAGGGTGCACCAAGACATTCCCCTATCGCAGAACTGAGCCTCTGATGGGACACTAAAGAGTACATGCCATGGGATTCCATTTATGTGAAGTTAGAGAACAGGCAAAGGCCCACCTGTTGGGGAAGAAAAAACAGAATAATTGCTGGGGGAGGGATTGGGGGGGGGCTCAGGGATTACCCAGCAAGGGATTTGAAGGATTTTCTGGGGTGCTATATTCTATATTTTGATAGGGATTGAGGCTACACTGGTTTATGCAACTGTCAAAATTTATGGTACAGCTGTGTGCATTTCATATTGTGTCAATTTTACCTTTAAAACAAAAGAACCATAAATGCTGTTAATGATGTGCATGCTGAAGTTCTTGAAGGATAAATATACTTGTGTCTGCAGTGACTTCCTACTACTCCTTCCATGAAAACTTACAAGTAAAGACATAAGGATACTTCATCTTAACAAGTGTCCCCTGCAAGACCTGGTAACTGTTGACTTTCTAACCTCCAACAAGCGTTTCCTCCACTGCAGTTCTGTGAATCAGCCAAGCTCCTCCCAGGCTCAGTGTCCTGTGGCTTGGAATACCACTTGCTGTCATTCCCTTCGCTGAGTTAATTTCCACAGATCTTTCCAATTTCATAGGTCAGGAGAATGCTCCTGTTCTCCTAGCCTGGATTGCGGCATGCACCTCTTCTCTTCCACAGCAACTTTATCCTGTACTGTCTTCCTCCCACCAGAGTTCGTAGGGACGCATTCATCAAGTATTTACTCACGTGCAGATCTCCCCCGTTAGACAGCCGCCGGCACCAAGGCGGCTTCACTCACAATTGTATTTCCGGTACCTGGCTTGGTGCCTGGCCCATCAATAGGTAGGTAGTTAGAATTTTTTGTTATGTAAATGACTAAAAGGCAAATTAGAATAAGATACCACTTTTCACTTTTCATCTGAAAGATGAGCAGCTTTAAAAAAAGCCGGCAGTATCCAGTATTAGGTGAGGGCATGGAGAAACAGACTTGCACGCGTTGCTGGAAGACGTATAAAATTGGTATGGTGGAAGTACCTGTGAAAACGTTCAGTGTTTATACCTGTTACCCAGCAGTTTCACTCCCAGGTATTTTTTCTACAAGGCACAGTAGCACAAATATGTTTCTGTGTAACAGTGTTCCCAGAAGTTGCTCAACGTTGAAAAACTGGCAATGATTTAAATATCTTTCGAAGGGAGGCTGATAAACTAAAGGCACACTCATAAAGTGAAATTCTGTATCATACAGCCATTATAAGGAATAAAATTAATCCTAATATACTGATAGGGAACTGCTGATTAGTAGGTATTAAGTGAGAAAGTTGCAGACAAATATGAAGTATAATTCCATTTTGTTTTTCAAAAATCCTACATAATCTTATACAATTTAAAAGTACAGTATTTTTCAAAAAGGAATGGTAGTAGAGGGTGAACCAAACTGTTAATTAGGACTACTTCCCTAGACCGTGGATGGGTCGGAGCAGGGTCTTCCATTTTTATTTCATCTATTTCTTGAAGCTATTTAAACAAGCAAGTCTTATAATTTTAAAAAATATTTTAAAATATATTTTGTTCTGCAAGAAATGAAACTCCAGATTCTTTGCAGAACAAATCTCTAAGATGAGGTTCATGTTGCTTCTGCTAAAATAAAGCTACAACCCTTGAGTACACTAAAAACTGGCCTCGTGCAGACCTAACACCCACGGACCACCATGCGCGTGCTCGCCCTTTTTAAAATCCTACCGGTGAGGTCCGGGAGGAAGGAAGAAAATGGAAGTGGGTCGTGGGAGTCCTGGGGTGAGCATGCCTCCGGATGGAAGCCGCCAGCAGAATTCACTCTGCTTTTCCAAGTAAATGATTCTTCCCCCAGAGGTGCCTGGCGCTCGGGACTGGATTCGACGGGTACTGCTCCCTTCTTCAACCTGTTGGCCAAGATCTTATCATCTCAAGGCAAAGAGAAGGGGAAACCCTGGGCTCCTTAGCTCATTTCGGTTGAGAAAATAACGTGCCACCTCTCATCTCGGATCCCCCTTGCGACTGCGAGACGGGGCTGCACCCAGACAGCTCCGGCCTACCCGATGGCGCCCGGTGCCGCAGGGCGAGGCGACCACGCGCGACCCGGGGCGGCAGGTGGGCGCGGGGAGAGGCGGCGGGGTGCGCACCGCCCGCGCCCTCCAAAGCCTCAGAGTCCAGCTCCTTCCTCCCTCCTCCGGCCCCGCCGCAGCGGGCTAAGGCTGCAGGGTCGGGTCCCCGGGACGGAGAAGGGGGCGCCCCCCGGCCACCACCGCTCTGGAAGGTCGGGGAGGTGTCAGAGGTGGCCACGTTCGGCCGCCAGCCTGCCTCCCCCTCCAGCTTTAGGAACTTAGGCGGGGTCTCTTAGCCGGCAGATGTCTCCTCCCGCCGTCTCTCCACCAAGCCCGGGCCAGGCCGGCTGTGTGGCTCTGCGCCTCTTCCTTTAACCCCGCGGCCGCGCCCCGAGGCAGGTCGCTCGCCCCCTTCAGCTAAGGTGCGAGGAACTCGGCCAAGCTCACCCCGCAGAACTGCGGTTTCCCCCACCCTCGGCGCTTCCCCTGTGAATGTGAATGGAACCAAGCGCTCCTTCCTCTCCCTAAATGGCCCACTCAAGAGAATAAAAATGCGGTCTTTGAGCTCTCGGTGAGGGTCTGGACCTCGGTTTTCAGAGGCCCGCGCGTCCAAGGTCTCCAGCTTTCCCCCGGGAAGTGACAGCCGTGGCGGCGCAGGAGGCCCGTCCTCGGAGGTTGAAATCCATTTAGGGAGTAAAAGCCCCTGAAAGGGCAGAACTACCACCCGAAAGCTCGGAGGCGTCGGGGGCGCCGGGCCCACGGCGCCCAGTGCACCCGCCCGGGATCCGCGAGGCGCCGCCCGGCTCCTCACCAGGTGTCAGGCGAAAACGCCCACCTGGTCCTAGGGCGGGTTCGACGCCGCCTTCGGGCAAGCTCGGCTCTTGGAAACTGGAAGCCGAGAGGCAGGAGCTCGACCTCTGGACGCGGGTGCGGCCTTGCGGGCCCCTGTCAGGGTGGTGCGCGCGCGGAGGCGCTTGTCTGGGGACCCTAGGTCGCACATGTGCCCAGCTTTTTGTTCCCCGACTCGACAAGCCTGGAGCGGCAGTAGTGGCCGCCCTAGCAAGCCGGCAGCGAGCGCTCCGCCGAGGTCCCCAGGAGGGTCTGGAGAACCGATGAGTTGAGTGCGCGACCCCAGGGGACTGGGGGCGAGTCGAACGTTGGCCAATGGCTGCGGTGGGCGGGGAGAAGACGGACGAGGGGACCTCTGTGGGACTGGTCCCTTCCCCACCCTCGCTCTCCGGGTGCCCTGCGGCCCCGCCCGCCCTCTTAAATCCGGCTCAGCCCTCGGGGCCCAACCGAAGCCTACCGGTCCCGAGCCCGCGTGGTCCTGGAGGTGCCCGTTCGGCTGCAGCGCCCTCGGAGGTGGGTGCCCGGAGGTAGGTGCCGGGCAGGGAGCGCACCCAGGCCCTGGGCCCATCGTCTTCCAGGGCGGCTGGGAAGTGCGGCCAGCACGCGCTGGCGCAGTTCGTTTTGGGTGGTTATTTTGCCCTCTTGGGGCTTTTACTCCTTAAGTGGCTTTCGAACCCATGTTGCAGATTCTTGGGGTCGGAGGAGGCCAGGAGCAGGGCGCCTTTGGAGGCTCGAGAGGAGACTGGCAGATGCCCACGTCCTGGCTGACCTCTTCTCCTGACCCCGTGTTCTTTAATTTCTGAGTCACGACCCTGCTTGGTTTCCCTATTGGGCTCATTGATCTCGTCCTCAAGACCCGAGGGCCCTAAAGGGGCTTCATTCCTCGGCCTGGGCGAACTTGCTGCGCATCCATTAAAACGCCACCTTTTCTGGGCAACGACTGCGACGCGGGGGCGGGAGGGCCACAGGTCGCCAAGGCTTTTCTCTCCCGCCTGGCCTGGGGCTCGTCCTCGCCGGCTTGCAAGAGGCGATCCCAAGCCCCTGATCCCTCTGGTGAGATGACTGGTGCTTCGAGGGACTTGCGGGATGTGGCAGGACTCTGTCCGCGTGGGGAGCGGGACTGGCGGCGGGTGCCGGGGGAGCCGAAGGTGGCGCGCCCCTCGGCTCCCGGCAGCCCGGACCGCCAAGGCCCGCGGAGCCTGACCCAGGCTCGGAGCGGGGCGGGGGCTCAGGGAGCGCGTCTCCACCTGCGCAGCCCGACCTCGTGCCCTTGGCGCTTCCCTCCTTGCTGAGGGCCCTGCTTGGTAGCCTTGCGACCGGCTGGCCCTTGGCTGCTGGCCCCGGCCCAGGGCTCGAGAGGGCCCGGCGGCTCCGACAGACCCGGTGGAAGAGTTTTGTCGGACCAGGAAGGAGAGAGAGGGAGCGTGAACCGGGTTTTGCAGGAACCGGGTCGGGGGCCGAATGTAGAGATCGGGTGTTGGAAACCAGCCGCGCTTGGTGAAGGTGTGCTCGGAGAGGGAAGGCGAAGGCGACGCTCACCAGGAACTTGGAGTCGGGCGGGATCCGGGCAGATTTTCGTTTGGGGCTTTTTCTGTTCGTTTTTATTTCTTTTTTTGTTTGTTGTTATTGTGGAATCCAATTGGGAAGTTGATCCAGTTCCCTTCGACCTGGGGCCGGCTGGGGAGGAGGAGGCGGCGTGACCCCATACTGTCCCTGCCTTTCCGCAGAGCGGCCGCGCGCTGTGGCCGGGGATGGCTCTGCCGCGGCCAGGTGAGGCCGCGCCGCAGGACAAGGTGTGCTACCTGCCCGAGAGCGGCTCCCAGATGCTGGCTGCCTACTACACGCATTTCGCGACCTATGGCCACTACGGAAGCACTGTAACAACCACCAAGGAAGACGATTTCCAACCCTTCCGGCAACTGGACGCCGCGGTGTCAGCTGCCCCGGCCATGCCCCCCTTCGCCTTCCGGATGGCACCTCCCATGCTGAACCCCGGTCTGGCTCTGCAGAGGGAGCCGCTCTACGACCTGCCCTGGTACGGCAAGCCACCACCGTATTACCCGTTTCCCCACCTCCCCACGGAGTTTCCGCACTTTGCGAACAGCAGCCGCGAGTACGTGGGTGCTAGCAGAGAAGATCTGGGTCCCGCTGGTGGCCGCAGCGACAGTGGCCAGTGGTGCGGACCTGAAACTTTAATTTCACCGGCTCCTGTGGATGCTCCAGGGTTACCTGAGGGGCTGAAGACTTCCCAGTTATTACCTTGCTCACCCAGCAAGCGGTCTGAGGATCATCCCAAATCCTCCACCCAAGAGGGAAAGTCGCCTGGTCGTTTTCACTTCACCGAGGAGGACCTGCACTTGGTTCTGTATGGGGTCACGCCCAGCCTGGATCGCCCAGCCAGCCTGCACCACGCGATTTCCGGCCTCCTGGTCCCCACGGACAGCTCTGGTAAAGGGAGTCCACACCGTCTGGGAGTTGGGTTGGGTGGCAGTAGAGGGGGGAGCAGGAGTGGGGATGAGGCACTTCCAGGTGGATCTAAGTCAGCAAAGGAGGGTAGCGTGCCTCCGTCAGAGCCTGGGGAGTCTAAGCTCACTTCTGAGGCCCTGCTTGCTTAACTGCATGACTCCTAAGGTTGGTTTTAGTGAGAGCTGAGGACCAGGAGAGAAATGGTTGATGTCACCTGAGATCAGATTCTACTGGATGTGCAAGGTATCTCAATGACATTCTCATGCAGTTCACACTCAGAGTCCCAGTACAGCCATCTGCCTTGACCTTAGTCAAGAATTAGCTCTGATTAAGTTTCTTAAATTTTCCAAATGGGGTTAGTTACACATCCTTACAAAAGGTTGTTCTGAGTCCCAAATAAGACTAGTTCTAGATGAAATTGTATATGAAAAGCTCATGTAAAAGAAGCAGGAAAAATAATAAAGAACAGATAAATATCAAACTCAAGATGATGGTTACCTTTAGGGAGAAAAATGCCTTACAAAAACGTTTCATGATACATTTGTAATGAAAAAAAATTTAACCCTGCCTTTTCCTAGGGTCTGATTCTCTTCCTCACAATCTGGATAAAGACTCCCTTCAACTTCCAGAAGGTAGGCGGGACTCCTTGCTTGATCTCTTTCTCTGAACTAATGCAAAGTCACTTTCCTCATTCTCTTTTCCTGCCCTGGGTTTCCCATAGGTCTCTGCCTCATGAAGACAATGTTTGGTGAAGTGCCACACTTTGGTGTGTTCTGCAGTAGTTTTATTGCCAAAGGAATGAGGTTTGGGCCCTTTCAAGGTAGAGTAGTCAACGCCAGTGAAGTCAAGACCTATGGAGACAATTCTCTGATGTGGGAAGTAAGTATGTTTTGGTGGATCTGCTGAAAGTGGGAGGGGAGATTGGCTGGGGAAATCTTGGCTTTTGCCAAATCTTTTGCTGCTCTTCGAGAGTCCTGGTCAGGGAGAGGGGACATGGAGGGCAGATATCTGCTGCTTGTGTTGCCTGTAAAGGGAAGGAACGGTAGGTGTTCACTCCGTGAGCATAGCATGAATTCTATATGCGGTGCCTTAGGTCATTTTAGTCTGGAGATTAACTACAGAATATACATTTAAAGAATGAATACACTGTGTTACACTTACAGATAAAACCAAATGCTTTAAATGTTATAGGATCTGAAAGTATGCTAAAGGGAATAAAAAAAAAACCAAATTTTAAAATTCAATATTATTCACCTGTAAAACTAGTCAAGGATTTTTAAAAACTGATACTCAAGTTCTAGTGATAGTGTACAGAGACATGCTGGTGGGACTCCAGTTCATTATACGCAGGAGAAAACTATTTGTCAGAATGTATCAGACACTTTAAAATGTCCAAAATCCCTTGACTCTGAATTTCTACTTCTAGGAATATAGTTTAGGAAAAGAATCTGAAATCCAGGCTATGTGAAAGATGCTAATCACGAGGTTGTTTATAATAACAAAACACTGGAGATGGTGAAATTACCAGCGGCATGAAAAGAAATAAATTATGACTCTATCAATATGCTTGGAAACTTAGCGGGGATAAAATATAAAACTAATCGGTTGTCTTTAAATCGTGGAATTAAATATGACCTCTTTATTTTTCTAAACCTCTGCTTATGAAATTAACATATGTTCGCTAGAGAAATTTCTGAATCAAGAAAATGATGAAAGTAAGAATCTTTAAAAATGTTAATATGTCACATCACCTACAGGGATGTCCTTAAGCTAGTAAATCTACATAAGGTGAAGTAGATTTATATGCTACTTGTAATGATGTGGAAATCTATTTGGTGGACTCAAGTGTGAGATTTGGGTTATAAGTTGTTAATAAATTTATAGGTTAGGCAAAAGAAAAGTATAGTGCAAACTTCATGTCTTAATTTCATTTAGATCTTTGCAGATGGTCATTTGAGCCACTTTATAGATGGAAAAGGAGGTACGGGGAATTGGATGTCCTATGTCAACTGTGCCCGCTTCCCCAAGGAGCAGAACCTAGTTGCTGTGCAGTGTCAAGGGCATATATTTTATGAGAGCTGCAAAGAGATCCACCAGAACCAAGAGCTCCTTGTGTGGTATGGAGACTGCTATGAGAAATTTCTGGATATTCCCGTGAGCCTTCAAGTCACAGAGCCCAGGAAGCAGCCACTTGGGTCCTCTGAAGGTGAGTGTACACCTGTGCCTCGCCCAGCGAGGGCATCCTCTTCTAGATGGACTGGGCTCTTTTCCACAAACCCTCCTTATGGCGCTCCTCCCTCCCAAACCCTGATGCAGGAGACGAAGCAGAGTGTGTCTCTAACCAGGGGGGCATTGCCCAGATGAAGGAAAGTGTCCTCATCTTTCCAAAGCTGCGGAAGCTGCCTCTATTCACAAAGACACCTTTTCTTCTTCCCCCTCACCCCTCCCCAAGAATAAAAGAAAAGTGAAATAAATGGATGTAACTTCTGCTGTAGTTGAACCAGTTTCTGATTCATCTCTGCCCAGGCTAACATGGCTGATGAAGCCAGAGCGCTATAGCAGTGTTTTTCGAATGGTGGGTTGCAGGGTTGCAATATGTTAATGGGGTGGGAAATCAATTTAGTGGTCGAGACCAACATTAAAGAAAAAAGAAAGAGAATTAGAGTAAAGTTGAATGGAAAATATTGATGGGAATCAGTTACGTAAGGGTAAGCATTGTTTTGTGAAGTTTTTGTTATCAAATAAGTACATGTGTATATGCTGGGTGTCAAGTATAAAATGTATTTCTTACTGTGGGTCTCGGGCAAGTTTGAGAAACGTTGAGCTAGACTGTCATGCTCAGGCTTTAAGGTGGGTGTGCATCCCCTGGGGTCTTGTGAACAATCTTCCTACTCCCCGGACAGGTGGATGGTGTAGGAGTGGGGGGATGTAGGCCAAGGTGGGAGTGGGGCGAGATGGTGGGATTCTCTGGTCTGGAGCTTGAAGTGGTCTCGTACTCGGCACCAAACCAAGTTTAAGTCTTTTTTTGGTCACTTCCCAAAATGTACCAACTGCTTTTGAAATAAAAGTGAAAAATGTATTTGCAAAAAATACGTGCTTTAAAACTCACAAAATGGAATCATTATCCTTTTGAGAAATTATTTAACATTACGTATCAGACTCTTAAAATATTCATAGCCTTCGATGTCTCAGTAATACTCTTCTGGAAATCTATCACTAAGAAATAGTCCAAAAGGAAAAAGCTTTGTCCACAAGGATTTTCACTATAGCACCACTCATATTAGTGAAAAATCACAAACAACCTAAATGCTCAATAGTAGGATAATTGGTAAGAAAATGACACTACGGGTTGAGCATCCCTAATCCAAAAGGCTCTAAAATGGGAAACTGAGCACCAACGTGACACCACAAGTGGAAAATACTTAAGGACTTAACACAAACTTTGTTTCATGTGAAAAATTATTTAAAATGTTGAATAAAATTACCTTCAAGCCATGTGCATAAGGTGTATATGAAACATAAATGAATTTTGTGTTCAGACTTGGATCCCACTCCCAAGGTATCTCACTATGATTATGAAATATCCCAAAATTGGGAAAAAATCTGAAACGCTTTTGGTCCCAAGACTTTTGGATAAGGGACAGTCAACCTGTATATTATTAGCGTGGAATAATACGCAGCTAGCAGACATTACAATCAAAACAAGTGACAAGGAAAACCCCAGTATGCAGTTAGCTGTGCTCCAGTTCTGAACCAAATAATATCTGATGCTTACAGCGTTGTTAAGATGACATGAATTTTGGACAACATGTAGACAGGAACTTATAAACAACTTATTTTGTTGGGAAGAATTATGAATGAATTCATTTGTTTTTTGTTAATATGAATGGTTTGGATATGATAAAAAAGAAAGAAAATCAAAAATTTCTCTCCTCTCAAAAGAAATGTTTTTTTGTCTCAAAAACTTTAAGTCTTAATTGAAGAGGGAAGGGTCTGATGTGAGTGGGTTATTTGAATATGCTAGCATGCCGTGTGTGTGTGTGTGTGT